CATTCATTCAGTTTAATATCAAACAGATAAAGAATGGGTTGATATAAGCTTAAGGTCTTCCAGGTGTTGAGAGACTGTCCACATCTGGTCCACATTGAACTGGATTGACACTTTCCCCTGCCTATCATATTACTCATCGATAACACTCCTCCAGCATTCTGAATCAAAGGCATCCAAGTAAGACAGAATTGGTATTGATAATGTTGAAGTGGTAAATCTGTTTTTATCAACTTAGTTGAGATGAGGTGACCTCTCTACAGTGGGAAGACACTGGTTTGATATTACTGACAATGCTAGGGGATATTAGGCAGCATGTTGCTTCGAGTGTCTCTTTATTTTAAAGAAAAATACTTCATCTAAAACATTAACAGCAAGGTATTTTATCTCTTTGTTAAGTTGTCTATGAGCTAAAAAAAAAACACAAGAAAAAAAAAAAGTCTACCAATAATAAATATGAAAGGATAGCTTACTGGATGCCTTATGGGTTTCTTTTAAAAGCAAGTAATTAATCATATAATAGCTGGTGAGGTAATGTGCTAATATCTTATGGAATGACGGGTAAAAGACTTTTCAATCAATACATCATAAACTGAAATCACATGTGAAAAAGCCTTCAAGAAATAAGAAAACTAACAAAAACAATGAACCTTTCAGTATATTCCAACAGTCTATAAAATACAGTGAGATTTGAAAAGAGCTAGTTGGTGGCCTAAAATAGGAAATACAAAAATATATCATAGTCACTGATAGAAAAATAGAAGAAGTGGTGCATGGACATTTGAAATGAGAAAATGGGTTGTTGAAAATCAGGAGTAATCAAAGTTCAGTTCTGGGTCACTTTTATTAAATATGCTTACAAATTGTTATACAAGGGGTGTGGGAAGTCAAGTATTTGTAGAAAGGAGATTTTAATGAACAAGAGAGAACACAAAATTATCTGCATAGTGAGTTTAATTTATCAGTTACAAGTAGGTCCAAGTAGGATGTTGTAATGCCTGTTTATAATTAAGGCTATAAGAGCTTATTTGCACAGTACTTATATTAGCTTGTTTAACCTAGTGAGAAATATTATTTGCATTTTGAAGACAATATTATTTTTCCCCTTTAGGACACACATTGAAATTGCTCGAACCACAAGATTAGTAAAAACATTGATAGTTTGCAAACTTTTCTCATATGTTTACTAGCACTTTTTTATTGCTATATATAAAACACCCTGTAACGGATCGCCTGGCACCCCGACTGGATACCTCCATTGAAGGATGCTCCTAGCGCTTCCTGAGGACTCCAAGCACTGCAGCAGACACCACAACCACCGAACCGGAGAAGCATATGAATCCTCTAAAGAATGTGAATGCTGTAGACAGTTGAATAGGAACCATACGAATAGGTTTACTCTCCTAGCAGTCAAACTGGAACAGCATACAATAAATCCTTCCCCCAATAATGAGACGACACTTCACTTTGAGGGTTAAAACAGGAACTCCCTGTACTGTCACATACAGTCTCTTTTATTCCCAATCCACAAACATAGTACAGCCCACAGGGCATTACAAAACAACCAATCAATCCGTACAATACACCCAGACACTCCCACACAAAATCCTCCCCTCTGCATGTGATATGATTACTGAACACAATGGGTAATCTCATTATCACCGGCAGAGGAATACAGTTTTTACACAATATTTATAACTCCTAAAATATAAATGTCACAAACATAAAACATACATTTTCATAATCAATCCATTCAGGGGAACAACATATTAAAAAATGGCACGAATCAGACCAGGGGTTCAAAAGTTAAGGGAAAGTCCTTTGTGACTAAATGAAGCATGGCTTTCTGGCCCAAACCAGTTTCAGAGTCTTCTATCCTGGAGAGTAATTCAATTATCTCCCAGGACAGACACAAGACTCCATTAAGCACATGGTTGCAAAAAGACACAAAACACTTTAAAATACATAAAGTCACCTTTTATACATAAAACACAGACATGTCACATATCCCCAGATAGCTGGGATCTGAGCGCACAAAACTACCAAATAGCGCTCAGATCCTATTCACACAGTTCAATTGCCATGGAGCCGAAGTCTTTAACTACACGAATGGGCTCCATGGCATAGCTATCTGGGTTAACACATTCACATAAAGTCTGGTCCATAGTCCAAAGGCAAGAGGCGGGCAAGCAGCCCCCTCCAAGGACACGTGGCGAGGCCGCTTTCGCCACACACCCATTCAAATATGAGTTGAGAAAATATCATAATACCGGTAGGTCATAAGACAAAAGGTTGTGTGATTTTTAAATGTCTCCAGAACCTCGAGATGACATAATGTTTCCTCAGTGATCTTGGATCTTATCTATCTCATATGATATTTGTTTCTTAATCAGGGTTAAGTAAAAGCTAATGTTAGGAATATGGTTAGATAGGTATAGAATTCATTTAACATTTCCAGGATTGCTGGGAGTTACACTCATAGGATATAACTGCTCTGTTTAGCTTGTGTTTTTAATTCTCTCTCCCTTTCTTTCTCCCCATCCCTCTCTCTCTGTCAGTTGAAGACGAGAATTGCTCTATCACTGCTTCAATAGAACCTCTCCTCTATTAGTTTTAGGAAAGGGGCTGAATTAATGATGACAACTGTAAATAATAAATGCTGCCCAGCAGTGTAGATAGATCTCACAGGCTTATTTACTACAGTGAGGATTCCAAGTGAATACCACGTGAATTTCAAATTTAAGGACGGAACTTGAATCAAAGCTGACTTGTGCAGTTCCATTATTTTCACCTTGAATTTTAAATTCACTTTGAATTCTCACTTTATACAACCCTGACAGTGTTTTAACATGATCAATATATCAATATAAATATGGTGTTTCCATTATATCCTTTATATTATACCTACGTCAGGTGTTTAAAAAAAAATAAAAAAAAATTGTGGACTTACTGAAGCACTTAATTTAACTTAAAAACTAGTTGTAAAAGGACACTATAGACACCCAGACCCCTTCATCTAATTGAAGTGGTCTGGGTTCAGTGCCCCTTTCTCTTTAACCCTGCAATGTATATTACATTGCAAGGTTGAGACTGCCTCTAGTGGTGTTTCCTTGATTTACGTGGAGTTTAACTTCATGGAACAACTCTGGACATCCTCATGTTTTGCATGAGGATGTCTTGCACCTTTAAAATCCCCCTAGGAAAGCATTGATTCTATGCTTTTCTGTGGGGAAGGCCTATTAGGTTTTGTAGTGTTTTGTAGTGTGTTGTCCTTTAAGTTGGGTACTCTGTATAATTTACATTGTATCCACTGCTCCGCAGCACTCTAAATCTTTCTATCTAATGATGGTAGGGCACAACATGTTTACTATTTACAGGAAGAAAATATTTCACAACATAACACACTTCAGAAACACTAGCTGTAGGTTCATAATTTGAGCATTATTCTGGGTTTTACCATGTATGAAATTTAATGTCAAATACAATTAACTAACGAATGCATACTACACAACCAATTAGAGCATAGTGTTTTAGATGACATTGTAAAGAAAACTATTAACTTATACGTGTAATTCATAATTTTTCCTAATTTTCAAGCATTAAAGCATCTGTCAGTGGCATTAATATACAGTGTGATTAAGTTAATAAAATTCGTGCAGGCATCGGCAGTGCTTGGAAATCATTAAGCTGTGTTGCTGTTTATTAATGACTCTCTACATTTGTTTGTATTGATACATATAGTAATGGTAATAGTGTCATCAACTGTAATGTTGATCAGCATGATGAAAGCTCTGACATTGACTCCCGCCAGCTTATGAATTGGAAATAGCTGATAGTCTTTTTGAATATTTTCCTTATAGTCAGTTTCTACACATTTCAAGACTTAAAGGGACACTCCAGGCACTCAGACCACTTCTGCCTATTGGAGTGGTCTGGGTGCCAATTCCCACTACCCTTAACCCTGCAAGTGTTATTATTGCAGTTTTCTTAAACTAGACAGCCACTAGAGGGCACTTCCTAGTTTATAGCACACGCTATGTAAGGTCCTCCAGCGTCGCTAAAATCCCCATAGGAAAGCATTGAAAGCATTTTCAATGCTTTCCTATGGAGAGGTCTAATGCGCGTGCGCGGCATTGCCCCACCGGCGGCCGCGCAATCGGTCTCCCCCGCCGGATGACGTTGGTGGGGGAGGAGCCTGGGCGGACCCTAAACCAGCGCCGAGGGACATCGGCGCTGGTCTCAGGTAAGTCACTGAAGGGGTTCTAACCCCTTCGGCAACATGGGATGGGGGGTGGGAGGGAGAGGGGACCTGCAGTGCCAGGAAAATGATTTGTTTTCCTGGCACTGGAGTGTCCCTTTAAACTCTGTGATGTACATTTGCAGTGACATTTAACTGCGTTTTCAAGGGCAAAAACAAAACGTATAACACCATGGTAAAATACAAAAATAAATAAAATTAAAAGAAGACTGCAAGGTTTAACCCAACAAATATGATTGCTATGGATAACAAAAAGTAACACAGGATAGTGGTATGGCGCTAAATAAAAAAGTGGTGCAGCTATATCACCTGTCAATCAATCTTTACACATTCACAAGAATACATAAAAATACAAAAATACAAAAAAACTGAAACAGTAATAATATGTTACCCATTTCTTGTTATGGGAAATTTCGTGTACAGCTGAATATCTAAAATTAATAAAGAAGAAGACTTCTCATAGTGTATTATGCTTTGCAGTTGTAAGTGTACACACACATACTGGTTAAACTCACTATTTAAGGAAACAGCAATGTAGGCTCTATTTGATAGTAGTTAGTTAGCAGTATCACAACCAATCAAAGTGTTACGTATCCCCATTAGTAAGTCTCTTCTGAATTTTCCTCAAGAATGTTGATTATGCGGTGGAATACAGAAAATAGGTGGTTAAAATCAAGTTTATTAAAAGTATATTAAAATCATACATGTATGCTTAAAGCCATCCAAATAAGCACAAGCACAACTCATTTCGACCTGAATCTTCATCAAGGTTCATCAAGGTGCATTACATAGTTGTGGATTTGCTTCCATGATGTAGATTAGAAATAACCTAGTGGTACTTTCAAAGAAGAGTGTGATGTTAACTCACATATTCCTATCTTGGGAATCTAAGTTATAGAACAACAAAAGCAGCCAACTGAGTACCTCTACCAAATCCGCTTCCTAGCTGCGATCAGGGACCCTGGAATGCTTCAGCCCCAGGAATAAGTTCTCAGTGACCAAAGCTTGACTGGAGTAACTGAGAACTTCTTCCACCCTTGACCAGGCTGCAGCTCATTACTTCCAGGCAGGTATTGTCCCCTCTGTCTATAATTTGATAAGCACTTGATTTCACAAAAACACTTGTGGCTCTCAGGTCTAGCTCTCCTTCTGTCTTTTCCCAGGCTACAGGGACCAAGCAGCAAGCCTACAGGTCTGAAGACTCTGTTACACAGGACACGCAGTTCCAAGATCAACTAACATATAACAATTCTTTATTTAGGACTAGGATTAGTCTTTGGGTGGCGAAAAGCATTAAAAATACAAATATATAGAACATTGGAGAACAAGCAATTATAATTAATATATGAACTATATAATGCAAGTAACTTTTTCATACACACTAAAAAGCAACTACTTATTTGCTTGCCCTTATCTGCATACCACCATTATGTAAAAGTACACATTTCTATTCAGTCAGCAGAGTTCTCAACTAACATTGTACAGTTTAGTTTTTAATTGCTACCATCAGATGCCCCTTTAAGGGGCCCTTGGGACCAGGTCCATAGTCTGTGGGCAAGGGGCATTTGTACACTGAGGAAGGCACATTTGTCTTTCATATAAAGGTATGGTTCCACAAGTGGAACTTATCTGCTAAGCTGCACATTGTGTTACCTCATGTTTTTACAGGTCAAAGGTAAGGAAGAACCTCCCTTTGATCCTTCTTATTTAAGTGCATAGAGAGAAAGGCAGTGAAATTGTGATAATAACATGAAGACTTCGCATTACTTGGCACTACAGTGTGCCAGTGTTGGGGACTTTATTGTGGGGGTGAGAGGATTAGTTCCCAGTTTATTTTATGTATTATTATTTTTTTTAAGTTTGGAGGGGACAGGCCACTTCAGAAATTGTTACTCTAAATTCTGAAATCAATTTGAGGATGAGATGGATTTGAATAAGGTTGAATTTAAAAGTCTTTCACATTCATTACGCTTCTAGAGATGCTTTGAACTAGTTAATAAATGTTGTTACCATGTGTAAAACATTATCACTGACACTGGAGTAGCAAATATTACTTGGTTTTCCATGATAAAACAAGGTGGTGTGCAATAAATGTTATAACTTGTGAAAAAGCCCTCTAGCAGTAGCAACAGTATATAAAGACAGATGATAAAATATCACTCTGGCTGTTTTTGTCCAATTCCAAGGGTAGATTAGCAATTGGGCACAAGAACACCTTGTAATTTCTTGTGCAGCAGACTGGCTGCTGTCCAGTAGTCCTTGAACCTCCTGGAAGTCTTGGATGGACTGCTTTGTATCAACATGGTAAAATAAAACTGTGATTTATATGGAACTGCATCACATATTTTTTATAGCCTATGAGATAATGAGTACCATTTGTGAAAGTATATAGCTTAGAATGTGCAGGTCCTTTTAACCGATTGCTGTCAGTTCAGGGATATTGTAGTGTTATGTAGAAAGTTCTAAGGAGGATGTTCTCGTCTTCTAAGTGTTAGTAGATGTATTTGAACTCAGACAAATGGTAACAGGTGACTAAAAGGTAAAATGGCATATAGTCTGATGAGAGTTTCTTGGAAGAGAGCCCGGGTGGATCATATTGACAAAAAAAGAGAAAATGTGTTAATATTTACATGTTCAGATGTCTGGATATGAGGGCTACTGAGATGTAAAATATTAAGAAAATCTGTGGGGGGGAGGGGGTTCATCCAGTGGAGGATAATTAGTAGGGGCAAGAAAAGAAAATCAAATCTAATGGCATTGTAAGGACTACTCATAAATGTGTGTTAGAAAAAAATAGGTGTCTGTCATGATTATATCTATTGATTCCATTTTCCCTATTTTAGATGATTGGAGATGCATCTGATTTTGAAGAAGGCATGCCATCCCATGGGGTGGAGTACAGCAGGTCTTAGGGGGACAGCACTCTACCATCTTCAAACTTTACCAGCTGCTACTGATTTTAACGCATATCTATTGTGGATATACAGAATGAAATAATCACATGTACACCCAGGACATACATGAAAGCGAGAGAAATCTCAATGTATGCTTCCTGGTAAATTATTTTATAAATAAATAAATATATAATGGTGCATCTGCATATCACAACATAACTCTAATTGCCCTTTAATGGATATCTCCATAATTTACCGAGCACCACCCTTACGTAAACATGTGAGTTAAAACTAAAACAATAAATAATCATATTTAGTTGAAAAAGTACACAATCTTATAAAATAAAAAAATAAACAGCACACATTGAAAAGATAAATGTTAGTTGCCTCTACCCTATCACGAAGGATAAGGTTAAGTATGCAATTTACATTAAAAGCTCTTCAGAAGTCCTTTAAAACATTTGTTATATTTATTATTTGTCATGATAATATATGAGAAAAAAACATCAAACATATATTGAAAGAATGTTACCAATACATAGTTCTTGTGTAACAAGAACATTTTAGGGACACCATACCAAGTTTAAAGGGACACTATACTTGCCAGAACCACTACAGCTTAATGTAGTGGTTCTGGTGTCTATAGCCTATCCATGCAGACTTTTTAATGTAAACATTGCCTTTTCATGGAAGTGCTGAACGTTCCCCATAGGGATGCACTGATTCAATGTATCACTATGAGGTGATTCTGACTGGCACTGCACTGCGTTTTGCTGTTGGTAAAGCATTGGATTGGCTGAGATCATCAAGATTGATAAACTCAGCTATGGGGAGGGAGAAAAGGTAAGTTTAAACACCTTTTCAAAGCTAACTAAGGGGGATCAGGGTGCTAAACAGTTAGCTTAACACTATAGTGTTAGGAATACATGTGTTCCGTTAATTGTAGTGGATGTGTACTGTGGAAAATAATAAGACATAATGCTTTGAGTATACTTTATATCACCACAGTGTCTGTGAAATGGTGGAAAATCAAGTTAACGTTGTACTTAACTTTGAGTTAGAAATACAGCCTCCCAAGATCGCTACCCAGACAAACGGCCTTTACAATATATAGAGAGCCAGAAAAACAAGTATGCGGGATACGGGAAACATGTTTTTTTACATGCTGTAACATTGTAATTGATTTTATTTGAGGAAGTTCCTTGTGGAATGAAATGCATAAGACCTATGGCCTATTTTATTTTATATTTTATGCTGTTGGTGATTGTTCACCTTTTGTACCAATAAATCGCAGATTTTTTTATCCTCACTCATCTCGAAGTCCTGTGTACAACCGACTACTTTGCGGGGGAGGCACCTTGTGAGTGCTTTATTCCACACAATCTTGTGAGTGCATTTACTAATTGCACATTATTATATGTGCTTATTGTACTACACTATGTATTCTTACGTTCCTTTTTAGATATATATTCAGCCGTATACCGCAAACTTGTTTTTCTGTCTTTCAGTATACTTGACTTGTGTGAACGGACTATAAATATTATATCCCACTGATTCTATATAAGGGTGTGTTCTTTCACCTTCTGAGAAAGTATATAAAATAGAAAAAACAACAAACAGTTATACGTGTATACTAGTGTACTTGTTATAGTAAACAAAACGTATCTAATAAAAATCTGAATCTGAGCCTTACTTGAGACACATGGTCATATTATAAAATTGCCCAGGTAAAATGAAGTCTGATATTTAAAAATGCATTCTATGGCACATGTTCCAGCTTAAAATATCCTTACATATTGGTTCTGACACATGAACGCAGAACAAGCAAATATTGACAAAAATAAAGTAAAATATAAAATACCGTATAATACCGGGTATTGGCACACCAGAAGCATTGCTTGAATACTTTCTATTTCGCACAAATATTTAACCTTCGTTGTCCAACACAAAATAAGCTTATGATGTTTCAGCTGGGGAACAATATGTTCTAAATGTATACCTGACAATATTCTGTGGCAGATGTTCAATACAATCCCTGTTTGTCTAAGGCACTCTAGGGAAAGAAAGCAAGATGTAAAGTCTTTTTAATTGTCCTTCCGGTCTCACCAGCACTCCAGGAAGATTTATAAATTCTTCATGTGTGGGATTCCATGAAGAAAATGCACAATTGACAAAACATACTTCTGCTGCTTTGCTTTACATACTCACTGCCCCATACTGTGCACATAAAAAAAAATACATAAATAGGTTTTTTTAAATCGCAAACAATAAGACTCCACAGTTTTGGATGAATGATTTATGGCAAGATCCGAATTTCTTATTTCAAACAATAAAAGCTAATTTTGTTGTAGCTTATGCAGAATACGTGTTTTAATGTATTTATATATAGACAATCCACAGAGTTGTACAATACCGTTGCAAATACATAAGCAACAAAGCAATAAGGATAAAACGATGATACAAGACAGGTAAATGAACAATATATAAATATATAAATGTATAGATATTTAATAAACAGGACAGAATACTTATCGGGTAGTATGCTCGTTAACTCAAGTTCAGGAATACATTAAAAGATGCCTGAAGATATCTAATGCTTCAAAGCACGTGTGGCTTCTGAACTATGTTTTGGGGCTAACTTTAAAGCCGGACCTCAAATGGTGTCCCGTCATCTGCATGTCTGACCTCTGTGGCATAAAATTTATACCGCTGGAAGACTATGTATTACATGTAAAAGGACGGAGAATGTTCCCAGATGCGGGCTGTTAATGAAGAAAATCAGTTTTATGTACAATATGGAGGAGCTATCGGCCGATACATATAAATATAGAAATATATAATATAGAAATATATATATTTTTAAATAGTGCTTCTCCTTTTTTTTCGCTCTATTGGTTACTTTTTTCTCTTGATCTGTGAACTGAAAATCTGTGAACTCAAATTGAACTGCCGTATGGCCAATATTCTGCTCTCGTGAATTTTTTGATTTTCAGACAAAGCGGTGAAAGTCTAGTTTTTAGATGCAGGCTGTCTGTAAAAAATAAGAACAAAATGTATCCTCACACTTTCTTTTTACATGGATTACATGGATTACATGGACTACTGACAAAAAGTATAGATGGCATGACATGATTTGTTTATTCTCACGACCCTTCATCAAGCACTCTTGCTCTTGACCTCTCAATTTAGAAGAGAATCCAGTTATTATAAACTTGTGTCCTGTCCAGTCTTATGTATAGCAGCCATATATCACACAATGCATTACTGAGGTGAACAAAATTCATACATGCAGCATTTACAAAACACAAGTTTTAATAAAACGCACGACCGAATGTATCTGACAGGATGCACTTTCGTATATTTTAATTCACTTGCTCTCTTGCAAGTGAATGATAATTTTAAATACTATTTGCCTGGGGGCAGTGCTTTCAGCAGGCATGCAGTTAAAAAAAAAAAAAACTCTTGGCGATGCGAGTGTTAATTGTGTGGCGATTGGCCAGCACTTGCTAGCCAGATACCACAGTAAAAACATTAAAGGGACACTATAGTCACCTGAACAACTTCAGCTTAATGAGGTTGTTCAGGTGAGAACTATAGCTCCCTGCAGCCTTTCTCATGTAAACAATGTATTTTCTGAGAAAATGCAGTGTTTACATTGAAAGCTAGGAACACCTCCAGTTGCAGTCACTCAGAGTGAACCAGAGGGACTTCTGAGTTGATGGAGGCATAATATGCCTCCATCCACTCAGATCTGCTGTGCACGAGCATCCTGTGATTCAGTATCTCCTCCCACTGCATGCAGACACTGAACTTTCCTCATAGAGATTCATTGATTCAATTAATCTCTATGAGGAGATGCTGATTGGCCAGGGCTGTGTTTGAATCATGCTGGCTCTGCCCCTGATCTGCCTCCTTGTCAGTCTCAGCCAATCCTATGGGGAAGCATTGTGATTGGATCAGGCTACAACTTCTGATGATGTCAGCAGACCGTTTTTTTTTTAATGCAAACAGCATGCAGAGTTACAGCTTCTGGCTTGAATAAAGTAAGATTTTTACTATATTTATGGAGGCATGAGGGGCCCAGGGGGCTAGATGGTGGTGTTAACACTATAGGGTCAGGAATACATGTAGTTGCACTGGTGACTATAGTGTCCCTTTAAACAAATAAATAAATAAAAAGCCTATGGGGGTTAAGAAAACCCCTGCAGTACCGTTTTTTCCCCGTAAATAAGCCCTAGCTTATTTTCAGGGGATGCTTGTATAAGCCCTACACCGAAAATAAGCCCTAGAGGTCGTCGCTAGTTTACTAATCTATGTTCGGTGAATATCCCTAAAAATAGATTTGCAGGATTCCATGCACTAGCAAACTAGTCTATATTCAGCAAAGTTTCCCTGAACATAGATTTGCGAGATTCCATGCACTAATAAACTAATCTATGTTTCGTGGGAATTCCCCAAATGTAGACCTGCTTTCTTGCGAATTATTGCGAATTCTTGCGAATTATTGCGAATTCCCTTTATGACCATGATGTAAGAAAGGAACCCGGTCGGTAAGTGAGGACCACTTGTAATATATAAAAAATAAGACAGACCCAGTCTTATTTTTGGGGAAAAATGGTACTGTATGGGAGGTTTAAACCTGCCTATACCTTCACCTGCCATGTGACAGTTGGGGGTGTATCTACAGAACACCTTTGCTATTATTTAACTAATTAGGGCCCCCATCCACCCCCATGGAAGGGACACTAGTTTCTTCCTTGTGATTATTATTATTAGGGGCCCCCACCCACCACCAATGGGTGAAACCTGGAGGGGACACTAGGTCTTCGCCCCTAAATATTATAAATAACATAAAATAGCTTTCACTCACTGAACACAAGTATATCCTGCTTTATTTTTATGAAAAGAATCTGTCCACTCACCATTTATTTAAAAGACTCCCGTCCCCAATGCTCACATGTTTTTTTAAACATTTAGTAGATATGTCTGATGCAGGACAGTTGGGGCCATAGGAAAGTTTAAAACCTCTCTTACAGTTATTATTCACCCTCTCCGTGGACTTTTTATTTTTCATTTATTTTACTTTTCTAATGTGGGGGCTGGCCAGCCCATAATTAACCCTCACACGGCCAAAACATTTTAAAACCTATTTGCCCTCTGTCTGCAAGTGCTGCCAGCAAGCTCAGATTTTTGTTGAAATTCAGACCAAATTCAGGCCTGTTTGGGGCATGAATTAGAAAACCTGGAAATTGCTAAATTTCATGAACAATGTCCTGATTTTGCAGTCCATAAGGTTTTGACCCATTTGGTTTAAGTTAATTTGGACTTGAGTGAATTATGCAATAAATCAAATGTAAAGTGTCCTGCCACAACTGGGAAAACTTAAATAACTTATAACATAAAGCCTATGCTTTGTAATATGCACTCTAAATTGGACCAATCATTTATATTAATAATAAAGTATTTGGTGGATCTCTCTCTACTCTCTCCCTATAGAAAAAACAATGAAAAATAAATTGGTGTTCTCACCCCTCCGGGTGATATCTAAATTTTTTATGTTCCTCATTCTTGGGTCCTACCAGACCCCTGGGAGTCTGATGTTTCTTGAACGTCACTATTTTGGACAGAGGTTTCAGATGTCCCACCTGAAATCTGATGAAGCCACACTCCCAACTTGGGAGTTACAACCCAGAGTGCTCATATCACAACTGGGACTATTACTTTCTTCACTTTCCACATCCTTTCTAGCTCCTCTTTCAGTCCTTGGTATTTGGTTATCTTCTCATGTTAATTCTTCACCACCATTGCAGTCTTCTGTTCTTTGTCTAACTCCACAATGCTGGCCAGTACTTGCTTGCCTGTCTGGAGCTTGAAAACCCACAGGATTGTAGCCCTGTCATTCCTAACTAAACGTTGTGGTACCTCCCATCTGGACCAGCAGATCCACCTCATATTTTGTGCATATGTTCCGCTACACAATCCTAGAAACTTAGTTGTGCCTGTCAGTATATGCTGTCCACGCTAAAATCTTTCACCTGGCTACTTAGTGTTGGATTATCTATATTTATTAATATTCATAAATAGCATCAGATGCTCTGCATTTCTGGCTTGTAAGAATAAAATAAAACACGAGATAATATAAATAATGTATAACAGTGACATGTATGCCTTTGCCAGAAAGAGTTGAACCATTTTGTGCTCTTTCTATTAACATTATTAAGGGATCGCTAGGTTTAATAACTGCTTGTGATACTCCAGGAGAAATATCTAACAATTACTGCTTAAGGCATTCACTAAAGTTCAGAAAACAATAACTCCAATTGGCTTAGCATTTAAATTCATTAGGGTTAAACTGCCATGTACAACATAGTGTCATTGGAGAGTTGTAGGATTTAGCCAGCACCACTCTGCTGTTTAATTTGTTTGGTTGTAGTAAACAGAGATTCAGTTTGTCTCAAAACTGTAGCTCAGTTCAATTAGCTTAAAGTCACATAGCTTCTTATAAATATAAATATATTGAATCACATGAATGTGTCTCTCTTTTATTAAAATTTTTTTGGATTTATAAATTTCATTACAGAAAAAATTGCAAAAAAAGTTAGAAAAAGTACAACACACCAGGTCTACGGGACTAAAGTATATTGGATTGTATCACTAACATCAGGCAACCTTTAAAATCCATTAAATATGCAGAGAATTCCCACTTCAAAAGCTTTACACCAACAAAACCAGCCCTTTGAACTACTCTTTATATTAAAAAAAAAGTTTTTTCCATAGTGAATATCATTACCTATACACAAGTCTGTACAGTTTTTTGTTTTTAAATAACCAAGCTAACAAAATGAGCTATACTTGAGTTCACATTCTTGGCAAGACGATGAGCTTCAGCACAATTTTTACAGTAGGCAAAAGCATTCACTCATCATCGTCATCATCCTCATCTTCCTCCTCTTCATCTTCTTCGTCCTGATCCTTGTCATCATCTTCAGGCTCAACCTTCTTTTCAGAACCAGCTGGCCTGCCTGGTACTTTTTTACCAATGTCACCCTTGCCCTTTGCCCGGTATGCAGCAACATCCTTCTCATATTTTTCTTTTAGTTTTGCTGCTTTTTGCTCATATGGCTGTTTGTCTTTTGGGGTCTGCTCGGCCCACATCTCTCCCAATTTCTGTGCTGCATCAGCAATAGACAGTCCAGGGAAATCACTCTTTATTTGTGGACGATGTTCCGAGCAGAAAGGGAAGAAGGCAGACTGTGGTCTTTTTGGTGCATTTGGGTCCTTCTTTTTCTTTTTCTTTCCTTTCTTCTCTTCCTTAAGTGGTACATAAGTTTTCATTTCCCATTCATAGTGAACCTTATCACCCTTTGCCAAATCTTCAAACTTTAATTATTCCTTGGCAGACATGGTCTTCCATCTCTCTGAACATTCTTGGAAAACTCTGCGAAGTTAACCGATGAGTCAGGGTGTTTCTTCTTGTGTTCCTCTCTGCATGTCTGCACGAACTAGCCATATGAGGACATTGGCTCAGATAATCACTTCTGATAATGTCACCCAAGAAGGCAGATCAGGGACAGAGGCAGCAGCTGCAGACTTGAATACAAATGAGATATTGCTAAATTTAGGGAGGCAAGGGAGGCCAGGGGGACTAGATGGTGGTTTTAAAATGGCTGTGTTCCTGACCTTAAATTGTTTCTTTAAGATTAAGCAAATTACATCACAACCTAATTTAATACAGGCACAGCCAGGGCAATTGATGCAAATGAGGAGGAGAAATAGAAATGATTTCCCCTCCACTCTCTCTATGCTTTCTCTATGATGACTGCCCTGAGAAAAGGGCAACGTTTATATTAATGATTGACAAGGAGACAAGTTAGACACCCCACCGCAGGACAGAAAGATTTGAACATCTACATTTAATTTATTTTCAGACCTCATAAACACTTATTGTTTAAATATGAGGAATAAGTAAACATAGTATTAAATATTCTGTGAAGTGCCGTTTCCCCTTTAGGTGACAATATAATGAAATGGACTTGGACATAATACCATATGAATGGTCAGTTCTTTGAATACATGTCTGTTGTGACCGTATTCTCTATCAGAGGTCATACTGGAATGGAAAGGTAGAAGAACTGTCTTTTTTATTTATTTCCTTCTTTTTAAGGTCCAGGTTTTGTAAGTATCTTCACTGTAACATAATTGGGAAATACTTATATGCTTTTTTTTGCAATTCTTGTTTTTTAACTTGGAAAACTTCAATACAAGTTATGTTTTAAATGACATTGTTTCAGAGCAAAATGTTCTACCTTATTCAGCTTCATATGTACTTTATTAGCAGGTCTAATCCTCTCATGCTCACCATGCAGGATAGTAGCCGAAACATGATTTGAGATAAATTTTAGATGTTACGATTTTGCAATAAGCAATCTTTAAGTAGCCCCAAATTCAAAGATTCACCCTGCAGGTGACAGCGGTGGTTAAATAATCACTGTAAGCATTATAATTACTACAACGTGTTGTAGCATGGTTACAGTGCCAAGTGTGTCCTGACTCCTCCCAAGGTCAAGCCATCAAACTGAGCTCCAGACACCGCTCTCTGCCTCCACTGTGGCTGGGACCGATGTGCTGAAGCTCTCAGTCATGATCAGACCTTGCAGGGCTTAGGTCATGAAAGCTAACAGAGGCTCTTAAGCAGGAGCTTCAACCTTACTGGAGTCCTACAGAGAGGCTGATCCTGGCGTACCCCAGGTAAAGGCCAAACAGTTCAATAAAAGTTTGACTAGATACAAAGGGGAGCACAAAGACACTATTGGCAACATAACCACTATAACTCACTGTAGTGGTTGTGGTGTTTGGAGTGTTCCTTTATGCTGAAGGCTTCACTTTACATTTATCGATTTAAAGTGGATCTAGCCTGCAGATAAATATGTCTGGCTCTTTCAAGCCCTACACACCAAGCTTGTGCACTAGAGAATTAATACATGATATTTTATTGATTTATTTTTATTACCTTTAATTTAGAATATAAAAATAATACAATTAACTTGTACTGTACATAAGAACATAAATTCCCGTTCTCATCCTATGTATGCTATTGAATATATGTCTGATAGTCAATGTTATGATTAATAGTCAGCATGCTAAAGTACTGCTGAGGAGTTTTATACTAACGAGCTGTCCTTCTAGCTAAATTATACAGTACATTTCATGCTAGCTTTACTTTTCATTGACATAAGATATATTAATCAAGGTAGTGGGGTTTGTTAACTAAACACTAAATTGTAATGAAATGAAAAATAATTTTTAAATGTAGGCTTAAATAGTCAAGTTGTGACTATAGCTGAGTTGGAGTATTTTTGGGATACATTTAGCTGGCCTCTATTTCTGAGATATCTAAGACGTAAGTTCCCTTTTCACTTTAAATGCATGCCATTCCGCAATATAAATGTATTTATTTAGAAAGGTAATCCCTATTTGGATGGAACTCATTGGATGAAACATAGAAACATAGAATGTGACGGCAGATAAGAACCATTCCCTGACCTTATCTTATAGTTAGGATATCCTTATGCATGTCCCACGCATGCTTAAACTCCTTTAACCTCTACCACTTCAGCTGGAAGGCTATTCCTTGCATCCACTACCATCTCAATAAAGTAATACTTCGGGATATTATTTTTAAACCTTTGCCCCTCTAGTTTAAGACTATGACCTCTTGTTGTGGTAGTTTTTCTTCTTTTAAATATAGTCTCCTCCTTTACTGTGTTGATTCCCTTTATGTATTAAAATGTTTCTATCATATCCCCCGTCTCATCTTTCCTCCAGGCTATACATGTTAAGTTCCTTTAACCTTTCCTTGTAAGTTTCATCCTGCAATCCATAAACCCGTTTAGTAGCCCTTCTCTGAACTCTCTCTAAAGTATCAATATCCTTCAGGAGATACGGTCTCCAGTACTGCGTACAATACTCCAAGTGAGGTCTCACCAGTGTTCTGTACAATGTCATGAGCACTTCCCTCTTTCTACTGCTAATACCTCTCCCTATACAACCAAGCATTCTGCTAGCATTTCCAGCTGCTCTATTATATTGTCTGCCTACCTTTAAGTTCATCAGAAATAATCACCCCTAAATTCCTTTCCACAGAGGTTGAGGTTAGTACTCTATCAAATATTCTGTACTCTGCCCATGGGTTTTTACGTCCAAGATGCATTATCTTGCATTTATCCACATTAAATATCAGCTGCCACAACTCTGACCATTTTTCTAGTTTACCTAAATCATTTGCCATGTGGCTTATCCCTCCTGGAACATCAACCCTGTTACATATCTTAGTTTCATCAGCAAAAAGACATACCTTACCATGAAGACCTTCCACAATATCACTAATAAAAAATATTAGAATAGAAGAATGGGTCCAAGTACAGATCCATGAGGTACCCCACTAGCCCATGCTTCAAATATAATCCATTGACTACAACCCTCTGTTGCCTGTCACTCAGCTTACCCATTCAACAATATTGGAATCCAAACTTAAGGATTGCAGTTTATTGATAAGCATTCTATGTGCAACAATGTAAAAAGCCTTACTGAAATCTAGGTAAGCATAAGCAAGGTCTACTGCATCACCCTGATCTATAATTTTAGTTACCCAATCAAAAAAATCAATAAGATCAGTTTGGCATGATCTCCCTGAAGTAAACCCATGTTGTCTCTGATCTTGAAATCCATGTGTTTTTAGGTGTTCAACAATCCTATCCTTTAACATGGTTTCCATTACTTTCCCCACTACTGAAGTAAGGCTTATAGTTTCCCAACACCTCAATACTACCTTTCTTGTGAATGGGCACAACATTCGCTAACGTCCAATCTTCTGGGACTACTCCTGTTAGCCATAATTGGTTAAGTAAGTCTGTTAATGGTTTTGCTAGTACACCACTAAGCTCTTTTAATAACTTTGGGTGTGTTCCATCAGGTCCCATTGACTTATTTGTCTTTACTTTTGACAGTTGAAATAGAACCTCTTCCTCTGTAAACTCACATGTAACAAATGACTCATTTGTCCTTTTTCCTAACTGAGGCCACTTTCCTTCATTCTCATCTGTAAATACTGAACAGAAATATTAATTGAGTCAGTCAGCTAGGCCTTTATCCTCTTCTACATACCTTCCTTATTTTATTTTTAATCTAACTAATCCTTGTTTTACTTTCCTTTTCTCATTTATGTATCTAAAAAATGTTTTGTCCCCTTTTTTTACTGACTGTGCTATTTTCTCTTCTGTGTGTGATTTGGAAGCTCTTATAACTTGCTTAGCCTCTTTCTGCCTAATCTTATAGATCATTCTGTCTTCTTCACTCTTGGTTTTTGTATAATTACTAAATGCAAATTTTTAGTTTTTTACTATTTTGGCCACATCTGCGGAGTGCTACAGTGGTTTCTTGGATTTTTTGCTTTTACTGACAAGCCGAATGCAATTTTCTGTTGCCTTCAGCAGTGCAACTTTTAAATAATCCAATTTCTCTTGGACTCCATTTAAATTGCTCCAGTCTGATACTGACTCCTTTACACATATTCTAATTTTAGAAAAGTCTGTTTTTTTAAAGTTTAAAACTTTTGTTTTTGTGTTGTATGACTCAGTCACTGTTCTTATATTAAACAACACTAACTGATGATCGCTGGATCCCAAACTTTCACCTACAATAATATCTGATACCAAATCTCCATTTGTTAACACTAAATCTAGTATGGCCTCTTTACAAGTTGGCTCCTCAATGACTTGTTTTAGAGACAATCCCAGTAGGGAGTTTAGAATAAGTGTGCTCCTGGCACAAGCAGCTATTTTGGTTTTCCAGTTCATATCAGGAAGATTAAAGTCACCCATGATGATAACTTCCCCCTTCATTGTCATTTTAGCTATTTCCTCAACTAGTAGATTATCTAACTCTTCTATTTGTCCAGTGGGCCCATAAATCACACCTACACAAGTTACTGTCTGATTACCAAATTCTAACGTAACCCAAACGGACTCTATGTTCACCTCACTAACTTTTATTAGGCTAGATTTTATGGTATCCTTCACATACAGGGTCACCCCTCCTTCTTTCTTGCCTTCCCTGTCTTTTCTATAAAAAGAGTATTGCTATGTTCCAGTCATTTTTTCATTATACCATATCTCCGTAACAGCGACTAAATCTACATTAAATCTACATTATTGCCATTATTGCCACAAGTTCATGGATCTTATTCCCTAAACTGCGAGCATTTGTAGACATGACTCTAAGCTTATCATTTTTTAACACACTTGCTAAACGCACCTTCTGTCCTTGTTTCGGGGGGC